CCCAAGCTCCCCGCCCCTCCTGGCGGCAGGTGAGGGTAGTGGCCTTGGCACATGCGCCCGGCTTCCCCGAGCCGGCCTCCAGGTGGCTGAGGCGGAAGGTTCCTGCTCCTCAACCGCCGGCTCGCCGCAAAGGGTTTGAGCGAGCGGAGAGGAAGTTTGCTTTTTCTGCCGCTTCCCAGTCAGGCCAGTTGGCCGCTCACGCACTGAGTGTCAAAATTCCTGTCTTTCGTGGTTTGGGTGCACCCGGGGCAGCGAAGGGACAGTGTCCGCAGCGGCCCCGGTACGTACGCAGGGCCAGAGAGCGGGAGGCGCCCGGGGAGGCTTAGGGCCTCTACCCTTTGCACACACACCTGCGGCCAAATCGAGTTTTCGGGAAAGGTACCCGTTCATCTGACGAGGCTCCCTGAGACCGCACTCAATGTTCCCTATTCAGGCGATGACTTCACCTTTGGAGGGAGATAAAGATCGGTTCTTACAGTCCTGAGAAGGAAGCAACCCCTACTCTTATTCATTTTTCTGGTTGGTTGTTTACTTTTCGTGGTGAAAAAGTCAAACAGAGCAGAGAGACGACTATAATGAATACCTAAAAGCTTGCGTCTATACTTAACAATTGTTTACACTTTGCTTTATTTATTCATCACCTTTTCTGCTGGAGAGTTTTAAAGATAGATATTATATTTCACTCTTCAATGTAACAATATACATCTGTTTTTTAAAAGGACACTTTCCTACATAACTAATACCATTTATACATCTAACTAAAGCTAAGGCAGCTTACAAATCCATACCTGATCCAGGTTCAAATTCTCCCCAGCTGGCCCCGAAATGACTGCTTAGACCAGGATCCAATTAATGACCACACATTGCACTGATTACCTCTTTTTTTAATCTGGTAGAGCCTCCTCTTTCTGTCCCCTTCCCACTTTTTTGGAATGACACTCTTGTTGAGGAAACCAGGCTGTCTTCTGGATGTGTTATGGCTTCTTTGTGGTGTCCAACATATTTCTCTTTCCTCTGTATTTCCTGTCCCCTGGAAGTTAGATATGAAGGCTTGATTAGAATCCATTTATTCTTCTAAATAAAGACTTTACCCACATTCTTCCATATTGAGGTGATGGTTTTTGTTAGATTTATTTCCGCCCAACCCTTTCTTTATTGGCACTGTCTGTAATCAGTGGGTCTTCTTAGAAAAGCTGAGTAGCTTCGGGAGTAAAATTGTTCCAACTGAAATGGGAGGCCATTGACTGGGCCATGTCTTTGTCTTCTGGCTACACTCTGATCAGGCCAAACCCCAAAAGAGAATGGAATGATGAAAAATACTGGGAAGATATTTCTGTCTCTGGCTATTCAAGAACTGTTTTATTAAGCATGTAGTGAATACCTTATATGTGTAAACTGCTAGATGTTAAGTGATACAAAAAAATCATTCTTGACACTGAACCCTATGCACTCCCAGTCCAGTAGGACACACATTCAGCACAGTTCATGAAGGTTGTTACTATAGTTAATAGGTAAATACAGTGTTTAAAGCTGGTGCTATGTAATGATGACGTTTAGCTTTGGGGGCAGCAGCCCAGGATGTGAAGAACTGCACTGGCCCTGGAACCTAAACGATTTTTAGGCTGCCAAGTTGCCAGAATCTCTGAGCTTCACTTTCCTCATCTGAAAAATGTTAGTGATAACTACTTCAAAGGATTACTGTGAGAATAAATGTGATGGTGGATGTAAAATCCCAGGGCATTTCTTTGCATGGAGTGGGCACTCAATAAATGATGGTTGTGTCCCTTTGGGCTTTCCTTCTAACAGTAGTGTTTCAAATTTTTTCTAATAAATGGGGATATCATGTATATGTTCAAATAATTATATGGAAAGGACTGTAGGGTTTTGCAAATTCTGTTTCAAGTCAGCTCAGACACCAGCCATTGCTCAGACTCCTTAATGTTGCAGGTTTACAATTCAGAATGCCAAAAAAAAAATTTCTTTGCCTCCTAAAATCAGTCATTAGAGAGTTTTATCCTTCTGGGAAGATACAGCTCTTCAGAGAAAGGTGCCTGCTGTATCAGTTTGAAATGAAATTCACAACAATAAAACTTCAAAAAATTGTATTTACTTTTTGAAAGAATTTGAGGTACATTTTGATATTTAAAACATAAAACAGTACAACTGTCATGTTTTTATGCATTAGTAATGAAATTAACTGTTTGTGGGAGAAAAGCATATGATCTTTCTGGAAGGTCATTTAACAATAAATATCAAAAGGTTTAAAATGCTCATGCTGTATCCCAGCAATTCCACTTCTGAGAATTTATCCTACTAATATGAGCAAAGGTAATATGCGAAAAATGAGCATCTGCGACTAACACAGATGCCCCACACAAACCTCCCTTCATAGAAGGACTTACTGCCCAACACTGGAGACTGTGGTCAGCAGACACCCCCAGCTCTCTCCACCTACACGGTTGGCCTCAGCAGCACCATGCAGCCTCATCTGAGGTCATGCGCCTCCCAGAACAGCCCCCATCAGGTGAGTGACTAACTTACAATTATAAAAGTACAGCCACTTCCACCCAATGCAGACAACAATGCTGATGGGCCTTTTCAGTAGCCTCTGGGGTGTGTTGAAGGCGCATGCCTGTATCACAGCTCAGCTTCACCCTGGTCCATGCCTGCTTCTTCATTCTTCCCTTCACAGGGGTCCGTCCCCTCTTGCAGCTCTGTAAAGCTAGGTCTTACAGACCCCTCGAGTCTGTTGCACAGATTGGGTTACAAACCCTCCACACGCAGGTCTGTGAGCTAGGTAATAGGGAAAAAAAGGTTCTGGGAGCCGTAGGTATAGAAAAATGAATGGGTTTTATTCAGATCGAGGAGCAACTATCCTAGTGGCCTCTCTGAGAGTTCTGAGAACCACTGTGGATCAGAGCTGTTAGTCTTTTATACTTAAGTCCACTACCCTGGACACCTGGGTGACCATACACAACTTACATTAAGTAGTAACAAGGAACACCTGAGGATATTTACAGCAAAACTCAGCAAGGTTCTGTACATCCCAGGGGCCCTGACATTTTCCTATCTTTCCCAACAACCTCGAACGCCATTTCTGTCAGCTTCTGGAAGACTCAACCTGTGATGGCATCAAGTATGATTTGTTAAAAATGAGAATCCCAAAACAATCAAAACCACCAACAATAGAGAAAGTGGATTAAATTATGGTTCTTTCCACAGAGTGAGATATTGTGCAGTCATGAAAAATGTAAAAGGATACTCAATGACACAGGAAGAGATTTAAAATATATTGCAAAGTAAAAAAAAGCAGTGCAGGGGCCGGCCCGGTGGCGCACTGCTACAGTGCGCCGCTTGGGAGTGTGGTGGCGCTCCTGCCGAGGGTTTGGATCCCACATACAGACCGGTTCCCGCTCACTGGCTGAGCGAGGTGTGGAC